CGCCCCCCCCCCCCCCCCCCCCCCCAAGTAGAGTCTGAGAAATAATACCCTGGGTGCGAGGTTTGGTTGTTATTTCAATATAGCGATTTCAGAGTCTTCTATTGTTTCTATTGTATGAAAATTGGCTTATTCTTAGAAATTATGAGATAACATAGACTTTCCTTCTCATTTCCCTCCTTATAACAATATTTTCTCTCAATTTCCTTCCAAATGCTATTTCCTTCCAAATTTCCTTCCAAAGGCCAAAATTTCCTTCTGCAAGGAAATTTCCTTCCAAGTGGAAACGCTGGGTTACATTGATGAATGTCGTCTAATACTCAAATGTCAATACTTGGTGTAATCTGCATGTAATCAATCTGCATCGAGGAATGGAAACACTATCCAATTCATTAACTTAACATTCTCAACTACGATATTCAAGTGCAACAGAATTTATTAATGTTAGTAACTCATATATGGAGAATTTAAAAACTATATAAAGTAGCCTATATCCCGACATAATCATCGCTTGTTAACCAAAAACACTACCACACCAATACCCAGTCACATTGCATTTTTTAAGGTTCTTCAGTGGTGGGGAAAAATTGCCAAAGGGTCCGTTTTCCATGCCCTCCACCCAGGATAGTATGCGATCGCCGAAGTTGTGAGCCGAGTGCTGTATGCACGAGTTAGCTAGGGGGTCTGGGAGCACCCCTCGCCCAGGATATTTTTAAAATTTTAAAATTTGGGTCCATGAAATAGTTGCATAGTGAAATATAAAAACACATTTTAAAAAAATCTCAGCTTTTCAAAACAAAGTTTTAATGGTGAAATTTGTAATAAATTGCATGCCGAACATACAAACACAACATAAGATTAAGTATGCTCACCGACAAATTTTGTTTTTAACTCTGTTCAATATCAAACTCATTTACTCAATACAGGTCCTAGGGTTCTGACTATGGGGCAACAGGCATTTTTTTAGTGGTGGGGCGGAGGAAGGGCCCCGGGGGGCAAATGCCCCACAGTCGATGGTGTTAAAAAATGCCTTGCCCATGCAGTCAATGTAACGGCATGCAGGAAACTGAGTGGGTGCCCACTGGACCGAAAGTGTCAAATAAACAACATGGTGAGGTGACAGCAACTGATAATCGGAGCACCAAAGAGTATTGGAATGACAACCAACCCATTCAAAGGAAGATACGGCAATTAAAAATGCAAAATTTTTCATTTGATGATTAAAGTGGCTCGATACAGTATTCAAATAATTCCAGTGTAACAGGTTACCATTTTTTAACTTTGTATTTTTAAGATTTGTGGAGCAGGTATCGGGATGTTCAAATGTTTTCAATGTTTTTTCTTTCAAATCATGCATGCTTGTTTTGGTATAACTCACCAGATGGCTGTGGGATTTGCTTTTGTAAGCAATTTGTCTTATTTTATCTGAAGTTAGGTGCAGAATAATATAAAAAATTCAAAACAATTTTCTAAGGATGCCAAAGTTAGGGCGTTTTACGCGCGTAAACTAGCATTTACATCGCTGGATTTAGACCCTCTATTTCAGTCAACCACATAAAGGCTGATTTCCACTGTTGGGTTTTTCATACGTACGTATACGCAACAGAATTTAGCATTCCGCAAGTAGGGGCGGCGGAACATATTTTATTTGGGGGGGGGAGGGGCTAAATTTTTAAAAAGTTTACGGTAGATTTTGACTAAGTGGAAACACATACCGCAAACGGCATAAGCGTAAACTGCATAGACTTACTGCATAATCAAAGATATATACTCAGGTTGAAAGAAAATCGATTTACATTCACTTGATCACAGAGTGAGATATTTTCTTTTCCATTTTAGCAGGCGAGCAATAATTTGACGACTTTGTAGTTAGCATGAACGGTCTCGCATTCTGGCATACTTTATGTATTGTGGGGGTGGGGCTAAGTCCCGCCACTTTTACTTCTGGGGGGGGGGGGGACTAAAGCCCCCTAGCCCCATTTTTCCGCCGTCACTGTCCGCAAGTTTAAGTATGCATTGATTAAATTATTTGTAAAATATTTAAAAAATAGAACGATTCAAAGTTTTACGTGCGTCTACGTGCGTACAAAAAATGCAACAGTGGAAATCAGCATTAAGTTAGCATTTATAAGGCATGCCTTTTCAATTTAAGTACTCGCATGAATAACTGGAGGAAACTTGGCGATTATATAGAGATACAACGACGAGTCATTATATTATACCAGACAAATAATTCTTTGTTTTTCTTTGCTTTTAAAATTGGTGAGACGTCAATCAGGTCTTAATAGATAACAAGAAAGTTGAAGGCTGTTTTTCGCAAATACAAATTTAATTAACTGAACGTTGCTACAAAGGCATATTCTATTATAATATCAACCTTTAGGCCTTAAAGTTCACGTCTATCTATTGATTGTCTATTCTACCGTGGCCTGTCCTTTACCCAATTCTTCAAGTTAAACTGATACTCCCGCAGCATAATGCCTTGATTTTCTCGTCGTCGCATCTAGTCCAACAAGTACGCTCGTTTCTCTTTTCCTGGCTCGCCTACAAAACATATATGATAACAATTTTGTGAAAATCAATTTTGTGAAAACAGTTACAAAGCATTTTTTGTATGTCGTAAATTCGGAATGAAAAGCGTTCAAAATTTGAAATGCTTTTGGCGTAACTTATTTTCTGGTTATACATCACATGTTTAACAATTATACCAAAGTGGGAGTGATTTTGTGCCTCGGTGAATATGCTTGCACTGTTCACCGACACTAAGGTCGGCAAACGGCTTCGCACTACATTGCGATTCAATTTTTCGAAAACCACCTTTGAAGTCCTCACAAAATAACGTTTCGAACGGGGGATCAAATGCCGTCAAAATATTACACAAACCGAAACACACATATATTTTATATACATTTACTCGAAACTTATATACGTTTACAATGAGTAAAATACTCTTTGTGAAAACTAAATATTTACTGAACTCTCTTACACTAATTAGCCAATACCATATTCTTTGCAACCACTCGTGAAATGCGAATCAAGCGTTTATAGAAGTAAAAACAATATAGCATCTTTCTTTAAATTTTTGACGTTACTCTGCAACATCCGAGCCTGAGGCGAGTAATAATTGATTTAGTATTTGACCACAAGTTTTTTATCTTTTTGGGACTGAATTTATTTTAATTTCCCTAATTTCTTTATCAGTAACTCCCACCAAACGGCTAGCCGCCATATTGAAATTTCGGTTTTGTTGTATTCACCTTTAGGTGACGATAACAGCTTAATACGTCAAATTTGACCAATGAACTTATAGACTTTTTTATGTTCTTCACATGTGCAAAAATATTAAAAGTCATTAATAGTCATCTATTCTAACACATACGAAATCTAAACATTAATAAAATATCCAACTTGACTGTAATACTAAATAGTCAATATTATACATAGCTTTGAAATGCAAGTCTTGAAATGCAAGTCAAGTGCCTTATAGGGGGAAAAGCAAAAGACTGGATCAAATATCGCAGAAGCGAAAAACTTTATACCCACAAAATCTTCATATATTCCTGGTGGTCCACGAGGTCCTCGATGGCCTGAAAATTAAAATTTGATGAAAATCTCCAGATCACTGTTCCAAAAACTAGGACTGAATCATCTATCTGCCACGCCGTTAATTATTTAATTTAATGCTGGTAATATTAAGCAAAACCACAAGAATTCTTCCCGCAACGCTGCTTAAGGAGTCTCCCCACAGATTTTCCAATATATGCCAGAGTTTTAAACTAAATGCTATTTGAATCTAAAATAACTAATTTTTTGCACCAAGCCATTGTTTCCTCTTATATATAAAAGAGTACTTTTAACCCACAATTGCTACTTATGCGCATGCCTAAAACGCCAATGAACGCGGAGATGTGTGTCTGCCGTGCGTATATGTGAAAAGTGTTCGTACCACAATCATAAGACAATCAAACAGCATTCATAACAGGCAACACACCACGCGCGATTCCCTCGTTAACTATGATGTTACAAAGTAATAGCATGGCATTACGGTCGATTAGTGATGAAATTTCCTTCAAGCCTCGAGAGGTTTAGTAAACTTTTACTGTTAATGACTAATCGCCCTGAATGCTATGCTATATATATATATATATATATATATATATATATATATATATATATATATATATATATATATATATATATATATATATATATATATATAT